TACCTCCGAAATGCTCCAAGTCAACTGCGTCTAGAACCAGAAGTTCCCCTTCACTCTCCCTCTCCCTCTCCCTCGCCCTCTCTTTCTCCTCCTGCTCCTGTGCCTAACATTTTTGTCACTAAAACTCTCTTCTGTGGCAGCCTGGGGGCAGCTCGAAATTGGCAGCTTCCACTCAAAATAGTCCTTCAAAAATGATTCGGGCTGCCCGGGGTTTCATCGGGCAGCCCGGAAGAAACCAGGTGCCCGTGACCGGGCATAGGCTTTAAGAATCTCCACTTGCCTTCGGGGGTCTGTCAGGTCTTTCATGGGCAGGTGGAGGCGGAAAAGTCAGCCGTAAATACTTCAAGGGCTGCCCGAGGAACTTTTCGAGCAACCACTTCAACGGGCCCTCTTTGATCCGTGATTCGGTCAACGGGCAGCACTCCAGCTGCCACCATTTCTGACCGGGACGACGCAAACGACGGGAAAACCAGCCCCGGGCAGTCGCAGAGCATCAGCGAGTCCACACGGGCAGCGTCTGAAAATGTTTTGTCTTGCCCGGAGTGGACGTGACGCCGGTTTTTTTGGACCCAACAAGGGCGTTGATAGTAGAGCTCTTACCCACGTTGGGGTAACCCACAAATCCACAAACCACTCTCTCCTGCCCGTCCTGCTTATCCTTCTCCCCCCAGATGCTCCTGCTGAAGCAACGGCAGGAGCACGAGCAGCAGCAGTAGCGGCGGCGGCGGGGCGGTAGCAGCAGCGATGGCAGAAGCTTTCGCCTCGAGCAGCCGTAATAGGCTGTCCTTGCCGTGTATCCTCACATCCTCTTTAGTCACCCTCACTCTCACACTCCCTTCCCCTCAACATTCTCACTTCCCTCTTGCTCCTTCTCACTAACTTCACCTGCTTCCCCACTTTCCTCCTCCTCGCCCTCTTCCTCATCCTCCTCCCGTCCGCCTCCTCCCACCACCTCACCCTCACTCTCATCCTCTCTCCTCCTCCTCCTCTCCCTCCTCCCCCTCCCCTCCTCCTGTCCCTCCTCCTCCCCATCCACCCCTTCAGCAGCAGCTTAGCAGACCAGAAGGCGAACTCAACGCCCTGTCCTTTCAGCCACTCAGCCCACAGCCGCCGCACACCAGAAGGCAGAAGATCCGCCTTGTTCAGCAGCAGCAGAGTCCGGCTCAGCGAACCCTCCCCTCCCTCCCTGCTGCTGCTGCTGCTCCCGTCTGCCAAATCCTTATTGCTCTCGTCTTTCGAGTTGCTGGTGCGCAGGTTGTTGCTGCTGCTCTCGTTGCTGTGATAAGGCCCTGCTCCAGCTCGTGCACGTACGCTTCGAGGTCAGAGCAGCGGTAGAAGAGCGGATCTCGGCTGTCCACCACGGTTACCACCTGGATACGGGGTTACAAAGAATGTCATGGTCGTGAATGGAAAATTAGTTTTCTTGCAGCAGGTGAAGGCAGTAGCATGCATGACAACCACCAAAACTGGCGTAATGACCACGTAACCACATGCCACTGGTAACCAAGTAACCACCTTATTCAATGGTAACCAACTGGTTACCAGATAACTATGCACTCGCAATCACCCAGCAACTGGTAACCGGGTAACCACTCACCAGGTGGCTTCTCTCCAGCACTCGCCACAGCTGTCGCCAGATGTCAAGGTTCTTCTCGAATGGGGTTACCACCAGGTGGTTGTTCTCCTCCACCCTGCCACATTGTCACACCACACCACATTCGTTACAATCACATCGTGACACGCAGGACGCAACGCACATGAGCATGCACCATCAGCACGCGCCACTGGGAATCATACATTCCCCCTTCCCCCTCACCCTCCCCATCATGCAACATCATCAGCAACTACACCTTCGATCCCTAACTCACTCTTGCCATCCCTCCCCCTCCCCACTCGGCCCCCACCCCTCCCCCACTCTTCCAATTCCTTCCTTGCGCCACTCACGCGGAGAGCGATCGCCTCCATTCCAGGAAAGCCGCCTTCTCACTAGCGTCCAATTCTGCTGACGTCATGCTTGCGCTCCACTTGGGCCTGGGGCCGAAGAAGTGAGAGCGGCGGATGGAGGGAGACGAGGAGAAACGGGAGCAGAGGGAGGGGGAAGAGGAAGGAGGGGAAGGGGAAGGGAAGAAGGGTGAGAAGGGGAAGTATGCATTCTTTTCACCTCATCATGTCTTTCAATTCCACAGCATAATTTTGAAATTTCAACCACAGATGATCATTCAACTCAGCTCGTGCCAACTTCTCTTCACGAATCACTCAACAGACGTGCAAGTAAGTTTCCCTCCCTTCATCTCATCCCCTTCTCTGTTCTTCTCCTCCCCACTTCCCTTACCCTCTCTCATTCCCTCTCCTCTCCGCTCACCGTCTGGGATGGTAAGAAGCTTCCTGTGAAGTTCCTCCTGCTCCCTGCGCTCGCTGCTGCTTCCGCCTTTCCCACCTGCAGCTCCCACGTCATGACTGCCGTGATTCGGAGAAAGAAGGGGGGGGGAGGAAAGGGAAGGGGGCGGGGAGGGGAGGGGAGGGGGGGAAATGGGAGGGTGAAAAGGGAAGGGGAGAAAAACGATTTTTTGTGAAAGTTCCAGGGAGAAGGCGGGCTTTTTAGCCCTGAGCTCATACATCCCCATTCAAAGAATCAATCAAGGGAGGGTAGAAGGAGAACTATTTATTTCCGTGACGATTTGGGTGTGAGTATGTAAGGCGAAAGTCCTCCAGCGAGAAATGGGTTGCGTTTTTCAGAATTCTGAATAGCTTTTAAGAGCTTTGAATAGCTTTTTAGAATTCCGAATGGCGATTAAGGCTACCAGCGAGAGCTGTGTGGAGCGAGTTGCGGGGGAAGAGACTCGTTGTGAGGGTGGGAGGTGGATGGGGGTGTCTTAAACGCCTAGAAACAGACTCTCCCACCTTGCGCCCCTCGTCCCGTGAAGAGTCGGTGTGGGGGGAGGGGATGAGGGTGGTTTGGGGGGTAGACGGGCGCGCCAATCAGCCTTCCGCCGCCCAGCCTAAAGACACTCTCGCAGGCGAGAGTTGCGAGCTGAGAGAAGTGGGTGGAGAAATGTGGACGGCGGACGGCGGACGGCGGAGAGCGGAGGGCGGAGGGCGGAATGCGGAGGGAGGAGGGCGAGAGGCGGCTCAGGGTTAAAGCGCGCCAGGAATACAAATTGCGGGGTTTACGACGACGATACTTAAACCTTCGCATGTGCCTGTAATATGACCCCTCAGTCATAGATTCGGGTTCAGGGTTCGAGGTTTACATGGAAAACCCTGAATGGACGCATCTACACGTAGCAGCTTTGCCGCCATCTGTGCTGGCGCCCGAGAGATTACTGGCAAGAGCAGCAGCGCACAACCCGCGGAAGAAACAACACACGACCAGAAAGTACAGCTAGAGATCCCACAATCTAGGGGGGCGAAACCAAACCCTACACCCATATATTCTTTCTGATCTTCCGCTTCTCACCCATCTAGGTAGATTATCTCAGCGTTGCCTCTTTGGGCGGAGAACTCCCGCCCTGCCAGCTCAGCAGTCGTCAGCAGCTCCTCCAGGTCACTCTGATCCACCACCGACACCAGCGCCGGCTTCGCCGCCGCTTCCGCCGCGGCGATGACGTGGCGTCGGCCCTCGTCGGCGTGCTGAAACTCCGAACCGCGGTTGAATCTATGGCGGATTAAAGACGAGCCAGGCTCCCGGAGCCTCCCTTTTTCTTCGGCATAGCGGCTACGAATCAAGTATGCAGTCTCGCCGACGCGGGATGCGGTGATACAGGCTTTGCCCTGAGTTACGAATCACGATGCGGATGTACAAGCGCAGGAGCGGAACTAAGACGCTTAGCTACGAAGAATCGGAGTTAACACTAGCCTTTGCAAACAAGCGGGATTACGGAGGTGACAGAGGGTCTGCAACGAATTCGGTCTTCAGGGTTTTAAAGGATGAATAGTGTCTACAGATGATGGATCATCGAAGTCTGACTCGCGTTAGGTGCTTCGCTTCCACATAATGTGGGTTTCAACTACGAGTATTGCGAAACGCTTACTAGTAAAAAATTGGCCAACGACAATGCATAACTAAGAGGCCAACTTAGGCATACTCTTTTCAAGAGACTAATCGAGTAGCGCCCGATATCAAACACAAAAATTGATTGGTATATTATCTTTCTCGCATGTTTCTCTCAGTAGTGTAAAACTGAAAAAAATGACTAGCATCTTGACCAGTAGAGCATACTCTAAAGGAACATCTATCAATGAGTTTTCTTAACCATAACGAAGCACGGAACCTTGCTCCCAGGATTGGACACGCATTCTGGGATAGGTTCTGCTTGTACGCGTCAGTAGTAGGCAAGGTTCATCGCCGCCCCTCGCTTGGCATCCCACAACCACAAACATCCACAATTCCACGTGCAAGCGGACATCGAGTCACGGTGCTTTCGAAGCCAATTTTCGCTCGTTCACTTCACATCTGAACTCAACCTGGAAATTGGCGCCGCGTTGCAATCACGTCATGCTGGGGTGGAATGGATGGATGGGCGGCGCGGGAATATCATCGTGAGAGCCACTCATTACGCACGATAACCAGGATGGACCTGGGCTAACATCTCGAGCAATTCACATTTCTGGGGAAAATTCAGCCTTCACCGGGACAGCCTGCTGATTACGTCCCAGACGAGTCGCCTGTGTGCCCGAAGAGGAATTTAACGTTTGGCGACAGTGATGGGACTTCGCTAGGGGAGAGTCCAGATGTGGCTGAATTTCGCCGTTCGTTCGCTCGCCTCAGCATTCCTCTTCGTGAAGCTTTCGCGAAACCCCTCACAAGCAGCCCAACCCCAACCCACAAAGCACGAGGATGTGCTGCGATGGGGACGCGACGCGATTTCGTGACTACACCACAACTTTCTTGCCATACAAAACCTCGATCCTCAGCTATCATTTTCATCATCGACTACAATTGCTTCTTCAATCCCAGAGCATCCGTTCTCTTGACAATCAGAAGCTAACAGCAGCAAGCCATGGCTCGCTCAATCGCGGTCGCCCTTGTGCTGCTCGCAGCTTTCGCCGCTGTCGCCAATGCCGCAACTGGGGCTTTCACCTATGAGAAGAGCGGCATTGACTGGACGGTAAGGACCAATATCCGCACTGACCGTAAACCCCCCCCACCCTACCCCCCCCCCCCCCTCACCCCCCCCAGTCATCAATCTCTCCTCAATTCTCCAATTGTCGAACACGCAGCAATCGTAGCACCGAGATTAACCGCTATCCTTTCGCTCTCTGTATCATCGCAACGATCTCACTGTGTACGCATTTCCGCCATGTCGCTCGCTAACCTCCACACTCATTCGCCCTTTCGATGTTCGTTTGGATGCGATGATGCCGCAGGGCGCGTGCGCGACGGGCGAGCGCCAATCGCCGGTGAACATCGTGATGGACAAGACAGTGCAGAGCAAGAAGCGGAGCTCTTCTCGCTCGAGTACGGCAGCACCAGCAAGCAGGCGTCCGTCGTCAACAAAGGGCTCCACCATCCGTGAAGTCCCAAACTCAGATTTGCTGCGGATAGCCTTAGCGTAGCGCCCGAAAGGCACGACTTCGTCAAATTATCGAAATTCCGAATTCGCTTCATTCGACCACACATTCGAGAGTTTGATATGAAAAGTCGACTTTGCTTTTATGATCTTTCCCGCTTCCCGAGCACCCGAAGTGCCTTCCGAAACTCACGTTACCATGGTCTCAATCCTCCCACCATCTTTTCATTCTGTTTTTTCCTCCGCGCTCGCTTTCTTCCAGAGGTGATTACCGCACCGGAGGAGACCCACCTGCTGCAACCTCGCATCGGGCGGACTACAAGTTGTGCGCAGAGATGCACCGTGCACACGTACTTCGGAAGTACACGCCCCCCCCCCCCCCCCGATCAACGGCTCTTATCGCGCCCCATGGAGGCGCTACTTCGTGCACGTGAACACGGTGGATCCCAAGAAAGCTCGACCGTCGTTGTGCGTCCATGCTGCGTCGTGCACCGCCCACGACGACGACTCCGCGTGGGTCAACCAGTGGCTGCCGCAGGCGCCCCTCGAGAACAACGCGAATGCCACCATCTCCATCACGCCCAACTTCTGGAGCGAGATGATCGACGCGTCGTCCGGCTTCTGGGCGTTATCCCGGCTCGCTCACCACGCCCGAGTGCGACGAGATTGTTTCGTGGCACGTGCTGCGCAAGGCGCAGCCGCTCTCCGTGGCGCAGACGATCAGTTCATGAACATTATGGCGGTTTCCAACCAGGATCGCACCGAACAACCGCATGCCCCAGCGCTTAACGGCCGCACCATCTACTTCCACTACCCTGCTGCGCGCCAAGTAAATAAATGGCTTGACTTTTTCGTGCCATGGTAGATGCGGTAGCCAGAGTGTAGCTCCTACCGTTGTTATTGCAGTCTTGCGTGGGCTTAAAATGAAACGTCAATCTGGCTCTCACTTGTTACGGATCCAATGAGCTAGTTCATTGATTGATAATCATCAATCCTCTTGCTCACACAAAACCGGATTCCCTAACAACAATTATATCAAGTGCGCACCAGGGGTGAAGGTTCCACCTCCAGCTTTCCTTGTGCTGTTTGCCTTTCTCCTTGTGTAGTTTGGAAGTCAATCTATCTAGAACTGAGTACTTAGCAGCTGTGTGTCTGCCACGAGTTCAGGCTTCTATCCCAATCTTCACTTTCCAGTTCATCTATATACTTGATGAAAGAGAATACTCTGCATGTTTGAATCTACTGCTTGCACAAGAAATGCCATTTTGTCTTAATGCTAAGCTATCATCTTCCCAGCTCTGGCTCGTGGGTCATATGTGAACATAGAACGAGAATTAGACTAACCTCTAGATCTGCCTCTGATCTTTCTGGAGGCGCATCGTGGCAGAAGATGTTTCTGAGTCTGATTTACAGACAATGCTGTCAGTTTTATCAGTGTAGACGTAGGTGCACATTGAGCTAAATGAGGGGGTTTGTGATTTTGAAGATTTAACTGAATGTGAAATATGATACACATACCACGTGTAGTCAGGGAATAATTTTCAAATATCGAGCTTTTCCTCCGAACCAATCTCTGGACGCAGGAGCTGCCGGAAAATGCGTCTTGGCAGATGACGATTTTCCACCCATTTGCCAACATGCGCCTCGATTAGGCGAATTTCGCGGACTTGGCAGGACCCACGGCGCGATTCGATACTCGTCAAATTTTCGCTCAAAATGTTGCCACCGCACAGCGGGACGGGAATTGGAAGCCCCTCTTCGGCAATTCGCGCCCCTTTCTGCTCTGTGGGTTGGATCCCATGAGCAGGTTTGCACTGGGGAGTGAGATGGGATGGGATGGGAGACCTGTAATTTCGAGCTGAGTTGCTGCAGTGGATGGAGCTGCCCTTGCCGTTTTGACTTGCTCCAACCGCATGGAAGTTGGTCAAACAACCATATCACCACCTCGCGAGCGAGACACAAACACACAGCTGCTTACCTTAAAAAGGTCACGTACGAGCAGTTGTCAACGCAACTATTTAGAGCGTTCCACAGTCCAGGGTGGCAGGTAGGCAGTCCAAAGCACACAATCATTCGTACCACCTCCTGTATCTCTTTCGTTTAGGATTTCGGACCACCACATTGAGTCTTAGCTGCAAGAAGGCATAGTTTTCTCCGTAATAACAGCAATCTGCTATCCGCTGATAGTGGCGACCATGGGGGATACCACGAAAACGCTTGAAACCGTTGCTCTTGCTAATTTTCGTCGCCACCGCGACGCAAGGTGGCGCGGCGTTGGGCGGGCTTCCGAACACGCCATGCGAGGGCGACGCCAGCCAATCCGCGCATTTCTGGTGGCCACGTGCCGTCAGAACCGTCCCGCAGCAGAAGCGCTCTCGAGACAGCAGATGCAGGGAGCGACGGTTTTGCGGCGATGGGGACAGCTGCCGTGCCTCGGAAGCTCGGCGCGCAGTTGGCGGCGCCATCCGCCGGTCCCACTTCGCGGAAGTTCTCGCTGCGTCTGTCGTTACCCCCTGGCAGCGCCGATCCCGCTGGGGGCAGTTACCGCCACGCCTCTCCCCTGCTGCTTCTGCCGCTGCTGCCCGCGCCTGCAGCTTCCCGGCCCGTCGTTTCCACTAACGCAGCTCCTACCGCTCCGGTGAAGACTCTCACTGGGAAACCCACGCCTGCTGCACTCGCCAAGGGAAAAACCAGCCAGCAATGGCGCCGCCGCAGCCGCACGCCGCCGCTCCTGCGCCGAAGCAGGGTGGCCCCACGCCGAAGCAGGGGTGGCCCCACGCCGAAGCAGGGTGGCCCCACGCCGAAGCAGGGTGGCCCCACGCCGAAGCAGAGTGGCCCCACGCCGAAGCAGAGTGGCCCCACGCCGAAGCAGAGTGGCCCCACGCCGGAAGCAGAGTGGCCCCACGCCGAAGCAGAGTGTCCCCACGCCGAAGCAGAGTGGCCCCACGCCGAAGCAGAGTGGCCCCCACGCCGAAGCAGAGTGGCCCCACGCCGAAGCAGAGTGGCCCCACGCCGAAGCAGAGTGGCCTCACGCCGAAGCAGAGTGACCCCACGCCGAAGCAGAGTGACCCCACGCCGAAGCAGAGTGGCCCCACGCCGAAGCAGAGTGATTCGGTGCCGAAGCTGCCCCCTGTTCCCAAAACCGGACGCACCTAAGCTCGACGCGTCTAATTCTAAGCCCGGTGCTCTTCCCTCCAATCCCGCACCTTCAGCAAAACCACTCGCGACCGTTCTATCAGCTGGTAGCTCACCGCTGGTAACGACCAAGGCCGTCAACTCGACTGGTGCAGCTGGCAACTCGACTGGTGCAGTCGGCAATTCTACCGCGCCGGCAGGAAATAGCACCAGGTCGGCGGGGAACTCTACCGAGACAGCGACTACTCCGGCATATGCCGTGGGATCGCGCGACTGCCAGTACGGGCAAGTCAAGCAGCTTCACGCATGCGCCGTTGGGTACGCGCAGTCCGCAAAGATCCGCGGCGGCCAATGGCCGACATCGTCGCCTGTACGAAGTTGAAACGGAAGATGACACGGTGGTGAACGGGAGGCCCGTGGAGAAATCGTTACGGTTCGCGCTGATGAATTTCCCCGACGGAGTGATCATCACGTTTTCGCGAAGCATGGAGATCGTGCTACAGAGTAACCTGTTTTTACGTTCGCGAGTGACGATCGACGGGCGCGGCGTGCACGTGCGCATCACCAACGGCAGCATCGTCCTCCAGAACGTGAATGACGTCATCATTCACAACATCGAAGGTACGGAGTCGCTCTAGCTCTCTGGATACATCGTCGTACCTTTTCTTCTTCTCTTCCTCCGACCTCTTTTCTCCGATCATCCCTCACCTCTCCACCTCTTGCCCCTGTATTATCACACACTCAATCTTAGTCGAATTTCCCGTGTCCCCTTTCTGCCTCTTTGTGTGCTGCCGATATTCTAACAGTGTCGGGTAACCCGCGCGGCGATCTGATTCCCATCTACAACAGCAGCCGCGTGTGGATCGACCACTGCCGCCTGCAGGACGCCCTCACGGGCACAGTCGACGTGGCACGGGGCTCCACTGACGTCACCATCTCGAATAACTACATCAGCAGCCGCGGCCAGACGATGCAGGTAATGGCGTCACTGCGCCCCGGTATATGCGCACTTACCCCCTGGGGCTGACGATACACTCACAAATGAATACCAGTCGAAAACACGGAACTGCGCTTCTCGCTCCTGTTCGCCACTTAATTTAGATTTCTCCCCCTCTCCGCCCTCTACCCCGGCTATCCCTCCCAATTCGCTCTTCATCTGCACAGCTTGGCTTGTCGGACACGGAGGAAGCGGACAAGAATATGCGAGTCACGATTTACCGCAACTGGTTCAACACATCCGGATCCATGCAACCGCTCTGCCGCAAGGGCCGCTGCCACGTGGCAAACAACCTCTACACCCACTGGTCCTACTACTGCCTCGCCGCGCGCCGCGGCGCGCAAATCCGGTCAGAGAAAAACTTTTTCCGGCCGGCGCCGGGGTCGGCGCGACTGGAGGTGACGCCGTGGTATAGAGGCATGCCGGCCACAGATGTTTGGTTCGACGCTACAGTTACCATCGCGTCGTTCCAAGACTACTTGGCTGGAGGCGCGACGTTCAATAAGACGGCGTATGCCGGCCCCACTCCGATCTTCACGCCGCCCTACGCGCTGTCGCTGCCGCGGAATCCACGTCAGATGGCGTCTATTTTGAGAATCAACTGCGGTCCCAAGTACGATGTCGATTCCGCACTACCCCCTGCTTCGGGACAGTTCCTTCCGCCTGCCCCACCGACCCCATCCCCCACGACTCCTCCTGCGACTGCGAACACAACTTCTACTGGTAACAGCACTTCCACTGGTAACAGCACTACCGCTGGTAGCAGCACCAATGCTGGTAACAGCACCGTTACAGCAGCGTCGCCTCCGAGCTCGAACGATTGCCAGTATTCCACTGCGGGTGCCGGAATCGCCCTTGGGAGTTGCGCGATGGGTTTCGCCGCCCCGGGTTTAGTCGGCGGTGCTGGGAAATCCACATACGTCGTCACTTTAGAGGAGGATTCGACATCCGCTACAAGACAGGGTTCGCTTCGGTGGGGCATCTCGAATTTCTACAAAACTGGCGCAGTTATTACATTCGCACGAGACATGACAATTCAACTAATGGCGCCGCTATATGTGAAATCGTTCATGACTCTGGATGGGCGAGGCGTCAACGTGAAAATCGTGGGAGACAGCCTGCTGGTGCAGCACTCAAGTCAAGTCATCATCCATAACATTGAATGTAAGTCATGATCCATGCTTCATAAAGTGCTTTCTAATTTACCTCCTTTTCCCCCCCCTCTAGCACCAACATCTCCTCAAACCGGTGCCACCTTTACCAATCATTACCATTCCAATCTACACCACCTCAATATGCTCCCTTCTGTGCTTCTTCAAATTCCTCATCCTCCGTGCTTGCAGTTTCCAGTAGCAGGACATCCCCTGCAACCATATCTCTATACAACACCAGCAGCACTTGGATCGACCATTGCCGCTTCTCCAACCTTTCCGCCACCCTCCCAGCCATCGAGCTCGCCCGAAACAGTACCGCGGTTACCATCTCCAACAACCTCTTCTACGGCACGCTCGGCACGCAAACCGTCACTGCCTCGCCAAGCCCAGCCTCGGGGACAGGCTCGGCACTCCACCTGGGCCAATCAGACGGCGACGGAATTAACCGTGACATGAACGTCACTGTCTACAGGAACTGGTTCCAGTCTCTATCTGCAATGCAGCCGATGTGCAGGCTAGGCAAGTGCCACGTGGCAAACAATCTCTACATCAACTGGACTGGGAGCACGGTGGAAGCCAGGGCGGCTGCTCAGGTGCTGCTGCAGAGCAACCTCTTTATAAGCGGACCCGATTCAGTACAAGTGGTGGCGAACACCACGTCCGTCCCTCCAGGTGTAGTCGCAGAAGCAGGTAGCAACACCACCAACACCACCAACATCATCAAGGCTTCACCCGGGGCAAGTGCAGCTGTCGCAGGGGCAGGTGCTGGTGCGGCTGCGGCTGGGGCAGGTGCTAATGTAACTGCAACTGCAGCTGGTACAGCAACCATGGGCCCCACTGTGAACGCCACTCAGGTGTTCACTCCGCCATACGACCTTCCTCTGGGGGACCCCAATGCCCTGCTCTTCGTTGTCTTCATGAAGCTGAACGCTGGTCCCCATGCCAACTGACATGGTAGCAGCCGTGGCATGGCAGTGCCTGTAACAGCTGACCTGTAGGGGCCTATGCAAACTGATTTGCCACCAGCCATCCCAACTGACCTGATGGTCCCCCCTTATGCACACCTCAGACTGCCCCAACTGACTTCTCCCCCCTCTCCTCCTGGAATGTTTGAAGTGCTTTCAGATTTAGCAAGAGTGGATGGTGAGATTGCTGCAGCTGAGGCTGCATGCAGCTAGGCTATATAGAGATGTTCTGTCAGCGCTTCGATGACAGTAGAGATTATTAGAAGAGTGTCTGTAAGATCAAGTGGATAAACGTGGTTCATTTTCTCCATTTATGTGTTATCTGCACTGATACAACACCCCTGATGAGATTGTGCAACCCTGGCACTTGCAGAATGTGACCTGGTCAAATGCTGCCTGGCTTAAACATTCCTCACACTTCTTGTAGAGTTTCATCTTGTTTTCCAAATAATTAATTATTGAAAGGCATCAGCATGCCTCTTGGCGCTAACTATTTCTTCGGTTTGCTACAAAACACGGACTCTTTCTGTAATAGACCTACCTTCTGCATATACGGTACCAATGTCATCATCGCGATTAATGAGGTGATAAAACAACTGGTCGGTGCTTGCTGTTGCGTGAGGCAACTTGGTATCACCTATTCACCATTTTACACACAAGCCAACTCGTGTGAGCAACTCTTGAGCCAGCAGCTTCTGGCCCAGGCGATAGACCACACAGAGAGTCTTGTGCCACCCGCTGCATGCACAGAGGCACACGCATGGAGACGGGCAGGCGCACGTAGGTACTGTATACGTCAAGCCAACGGAGTAGGAATTGAAGTTAGAAACTCGAACCCTACGATACACAGTGAGTCGTGTGCTGCGCGTGGCATACACATCAGGGTTCCCTGTGCCCTGTCCACCACACCACACCCACCACACCACGCCCACCACACCCTGCTCACCTCTTATCCTGCTCATCTACGCCCGCATGAGCATTGAGCCATGCAGCGTCCTCTTCCGCAGTCCCCGTGCCCTGCACCATGCGGTCAAGCCTGAGAGCAGGGAGTGAAAAGGATGTGAGGTGACTTCGGCTCATCAATGTGTGCATGTGCGTTGAGCCATGCAGTGTTCTCTTCAGCAGTCCCCGTGCCCTGCACCATGCTGTCATTCCTGAATCAGGAGCAGGGGCAGGGGCAGGGGCAGGGGCAGGGGCAGGGCCAGGGGCAGGGGCAGGGGCAGGGGCAGGGACAGGGGCAGGGGCAGGGGCAGGGGCAGGGGAGATAATGGGGAAAGGCAGAGGAGAGAGTGAGAAAGGGCGACATAGAGAGAGAAAGGGTGACAGAGAGTGAGAAAGGGTAGGAGAGATCAGATCAGCACGTCATCATGTGAACTGATGCACTGAAAACACTGCAGAAAACAATTACCATATTGCAGTAAACTAGCAAACCTGAACCTCAACTCACCATCCCTATCCCATGACTCACCACCCCTGTCCCGTGACTCACCACCCCTGTCCCATGACTCACCACCCCTGTCCCATGACTCACCAACCCTGTCCCATGAGCCCTCACCTATGCTGCAGAAGTTGTTGCAGCAGCAGCAGCGCCTGTGCATCCCCCCCCGCTGCCTCTCTCACTGCCTCGCTTGCGTCCTCAGGGCTTAGAGCCCCCTCCCCTGCTGCTGCCTTGCGCTGCCATGCAGGGTGGAAGGGAAGGGATGCGATGGGTAAGTTTTGCCGCTTGGCTAGTGAGATCAACGAACGGGGATGAGGGTCGTTTCGTGGCAACAGCAAGAAACCATTCGAGATTCTAACAGGGCAGGCAGCAGATGAAGCAGATGCCACGTGTCATATCCACGTCAGCCTTGCGTACCTCCAGGAGTGCTGACGTGGCAGCATCCAACTGGGCTTCTGTGAGTGAGAGCACTCGCAGTGCTGCCATCAAGCTAGAGGGAAACACATCCCCATGCTCACTCCCCTCTTGCTCCCCCCCACCCTCCTCCTCCTTATGCTGTCCCTGCTGCACCTGCACCTCATCCTGCCCCTGCTTGTCCTCCTGCCCCTGCTTGTCCTCCTGCCCCTGCTTGTCCTCCTGCCCCTGCTTCTCCCCTCGCTCCTGCTCCTTCCGACTCCTGGCAGATGAAGCACCGGCATACTGGCAATCGTTGTTGGATACTTGGAGGAACGCGGAATGATCCATTGTAGTGAGAGGTCCTATAAGGGGGACAGAGCATGATTGCAGACATAGACGAGAGGAAGTGACTGGCAGCATGGGTATCACAGTCCAGTTTGAAGATGCTATGGGACTTTTGTTTAAGAGGCACTGTGAATGGATCAATGCAGAATGTAAAAGGAAAAGCCTGGGACCTGTATTGTCAGTGGCTGACGTGTCAGTACCTGACTCGTTAGCAGCTGATTCGTTTATACCTGCACGGCCAAGAGCTGTAGCTTGGTCTCGGCGCATGGGTCTTCCTGAAGCTGTGCCGGGGGGTAGTTGAGCTGGTGGGCATGGGAGGGCAATGGAAGTGGAAGAAAAAAGAGGAGAGGAGAGACGTGGGGGCAGGGGCATGTGTGAGAAGGCAGAGGTATGTGCATTGAAGGCAGAGGAGAGGTATGCATCATGCATGAATTTGCGGGGGATTGGGATGAGTGGTTGGGCAGCATACCATGAGGCGCTCGTGGGGGTTGTTGGGAATGGCGAAGCCATAAAGAAACAGAAGCTCCTGGTGTGAGAGAGTGGTGGGGAGTGGAGGTGGCGAGAGGAAGGGAGAGAGGAAGGGAGAGAGGTAGGGAGTGAGGAAGAGAGTTTCAGGAAGTGTCCTCAAGCAACTGCACATTGTCTTACCAATACTGAACAGTTTGAACGTGTCCCATTCAGTTTGCAAAAGATAGCGCTACCTAAAATCACCCGATTACCCCATACATAAGAGTACCAAATCGCTCTCACCTCGTTGCCCTTCTCCCCATAGCTGATGGTAACCTCGTTGCCTTGCACAGGAGGCACTACTGCAGGGCGGTGTGGGTTGGGGAGGGTGGAAAAGGGTGCAGAGGCGTGCTAGGAAGGATTGAAAGATGGGTGGCTTTGCGGCGCCACAAGAAAGAACCGAAAGTAAACTCGAGATAGGAAAACAGGCGGGTGGTTTTCGAGGCGGCCGCAACAAGACAAGATCCACACAGCACCAACTTCCAGCAGCATCACCTTGCAGCAGGCACACAGCGTCAGATTTGGCCATATGTTGAACTGGATGTGAGCCCGATGCTGAACCTGCTACTGCTCCATCTCCTCTTCCTTCCTCTTTTCCCTTCCCATGGTCGTCTCCCCAACTGCCATTGTTTCCAGAAGAGTGGGTAAGCTGGTTGGCTGTGAGAACCTCCCACCGAGCACAGGGCAGAAGGGCTGACGGACAGGGCAGAAAATGAAGGGAGAGAAGACCGAAGGAGAAAAGGAGTGGTCGAACAGGACATGGGAAATATGATATAACTTTTTTCTGGTCACATGGTCACTAATGAACTGAGGCGAGACACTGAGGAAGCAGGGAAGGTGGAGTGAACCACAGTGATTGCAGAAGTCAACTCCTGGGACAATCGCCTCTAGACTGTGTGGTGGGGAGTGGAGACGGGTCGGTTCTTGTGTATTCTAAAACAATCAAGTCGTCTAAGACGAGGTGACCCACAGTGATTGCAGAAGTCAACTCCTGGGACAATCGCCTCTAGACTGTGTGGTGGGGAGGACGCTGAAGGGGCGTCTACAGCATCGGCACCATCCGCACCATCAGCAGCAGGATCAGCATCAGAAACAGCAGCACCAGCAGCGGCATCACCAGCACCAGCATGTCCACCATCAGCATCCGGCACAGCGATGTTGACATAGGCAGAGAGGCTGGGAGCGAGCTGGAGGGTTAGAGCTCGCGACCAGAAAATGGAATTGGCCCTGAAAGAGTGGTGCACAGGGACGTATATCCAGAGGATGTACAGGACAGAGCAAGGTGGAAGGAAGGCAGGAGAAAATGGAAGAGAGAAGGTATAGATGGGTAGTTGGGGAGCGAGAGGATGGTGGGGGGAGGGGGCAGTTGAGCCGATTCAGAAGTAACGAATCAAAGCAAGGGGCAAGTTGAGTAAGAAGAAGCGAGGCATTGGCCAGTGAGAGGAGAGGCACGTGAGGGCAGAGAGAAAACGGGCGCTGCATAAGTGGCAGAACGTGAGGGGAAGAGGGCGAAGAAGAACACAACAGTGGAGTTTTTGTTTTCGTACCAGAGAAAATCGTCCAAGGAGATGCAGCTGGAGGCATCGCCACTGTTCTGCTCCCCCTCTGCTTCGACCACCACAGCAGCAAAGATTGGCTCCACCTGCTCCTCGTACACACGCCTCAAGTTGGCCCTCTGAACGAACAGGGGATTGAATATGGAGACATGAAGAGTAGAGGAAAATCAATCAGCCCACCACAGCAGCAAGGATCGGCTCCAGTTGGCCCTCAATTCCACCTGCTCCTCGTACACTCGCCTCCAGTTGGCCCTCTGAACGAACAGGGAGATTCCAAAACACGCACACTGTCTACTTAGATAGCCCAATCAAATGTGATGCAGCAGCTGTCAGCCCACTGCAGCAGCGAAGATTGGCCCCACCTGCTCCTCTTACACACGCCTCAAGTTGGCCCTATGAAGGTGCAAGAGGATTCAATATGGAGCCGTACGTAGCAGAGAAAACACCATGAGATGTGATGTGGCAGTTAGCGTAGCAAAGCAGTAAAGATCAAGTCCACCTGCTCCTGGTACATGGGATTCGACTTTCAAGCACGCCTGACATTGCAAAAACTCCTCACGTTGCAAAAACGCCTCACGTTGCAAACGCCTACCTGCGCACATGCAGCGTTGTACAGAGGAGTGCCTCGCAGCTCCTCCAACGTGGCCTGGTCGAACCACAGAGGCGAGTCAAAGCACTGTGGCAGGCAGGAGAGGTAGCTGCAGGCAGGTGTGTGGGACGGGCCGTGGGGCAGAGGAAAGGGCAAGTGCGGGTTGATGGGTGACTCAAACAGGTCAAATATCCTGAAGGGAGCTATTTCCCCTCCCTGGTGCCATCGGTGCCGGCTGCAGAAAGAGTTTTGAGAACTCTGACAAGTCCATCCAGCAGGCCCCGGTTGTGTTTTGATTCGACTCAAAACAAGGAAACAGGAACTGGAGAGCTGTACCGAAGGACTTACGGAGCCCAGAAGGAGCGTTCTTTCTGGTGGCAGCGGTGCAGTGCAGCAGCTGCAGGAGGAGCACGAGCATGTGGTGGTCCAGCAGGCCCTGGGAGAGCAGGCTGGAGAGAGAGGATATTTCCGAATACTCGAACTGAAGAACTTACGGAGCCCAGAAGGAGTGTTCTTTCTGGTGGCATCGATGTAGCAGCAGCAGGAGCAGCACAAGCATGCGGTGGTCCAGCAGGCCCTGGGAGTGCAGGCGGCGCAAAGAGGCGCCATAGATGGGGTCTTGCAGGGCAGTGGGCGCGGAGAGGAGGAGAGAGAGCGGCACGGAGATGAGCACTGTGTCTGAGCGAGGGGGAAGAGTAGGGGGTGGTGACGTAGGGGGGTTGGGAAAAATGGGGAAATATAGGGGATGGGAGTGAGGGTGAGCATGCGGTGGTCCAGCAGGCCCTGGGAGTGCAGGCGGCGCAGAGAGGTGCCGTAGAGGGGGTCTTGCAGGGCCGTGGGTGCGGAGAGGAGGAGAGAGAGCGGCACGGAGATGAGAACTGCATCTGCAGGTGTGGGGATGATGTAGGGGAGAATGCGTAAGGGGATCGGGGAAGGGAAGATGGGAGAAATGGGGGAATGGGAGTAAGGGTGAGTTTGCGGTGGTCCAGCAGGCCCTGGGAGTGCAGGCGGTGCAGAAAGGCGCCATAGAGGGGGTCTTTCAGGGCGGTGGGCGCGGAGAGAAGGAGAGACAGCGGCACGGAGATGAGAACTGCATCTCCAGGTGCGGGGATGATGTAGGGGAGAATGCGTAAGGGGATCGGGGAAGGGAAGATGGGAGAAATGGGGGAATGGGAGTAAGGGTGAGCATGCGGTGGTCCAGCAGGCCCTGGGAGTGCAGGCGGCGCAGAAAGGCGCCATAGAGGGGGTCTTTCAGGGCGGTGGGCGCGGAGAGAAGGAGAGACAGCGGCACGGAGATGAGCACTCTGTCTGCAGGCGTGATGAGGGGATAGGGTGGCGACGTATGCCATAAGGGGTTGTGGGGAATGGGAAAACGGGGGAAATGGGATTCAGGGTTATTTCAATTTAGCTCAACAATCGTTTTGAGGTTGGCACAGAGATGAGCACTGTGTCTGTGGGTGTGGGAGGGAGTGACGAGCGGGGATGGCTTAAGAGGATGGGAGGAAGATCGAATTAGGGTGACCTGGTGAGTCGCCTCGACCGTCAATTGATGGCATTGGAGATGATTACTCCGTCGTCTTCACGACCATGCGGTTTGCTCGAGGCCACCGCATGTGCAGGTGTGCTGAGGTGTGGAGGATCACGCAAGTTTGGGAGTCACTTTTGAGAATTCCCAAAAGTAACGCAAGAGGATTGTGAGGATTGTGAAGGAATGACAAGGAGTGGGAGGAATGGGAGTTGGCGAAAGCCTGGATATGGGGAGGGGTGAAACGGAGGGAGAACGGTATGGCAGAAGCAGGAAAATCGTTGGCGGATTAGCACCAGGATTGTGAAGGTCACCGAAGTGCAGATTCACAAAGCAGTGAGGAAATAATTCAAATTTGCTCGAAAGGAAGTCACAAAGACGGACCTCCATCGGCAGTATACATTCTCTCATCCGTATCCGATCTGGACAGAAAAACGCCGAATCCCGCACTGGCTGAAGCATGATCACCCGTAAGAAGCTCTGCTTCTGCAGCCTCAGCATCATCCTCCCTGGTTGCTACGTTCCCAGCCGCTGCGTCGCTTTCACGAGCATGCGATCCGTTCGCGGACGCTGTTCGAGCACTGCTCGTGTCATCGTCTGATACGCGTGGATTTGACGTAGCAAGTTTGGATTCAGACGACACGGAGGCGAATGACGCGACGGATGGCAAGGCTTTCGAAAAGCATTCACGAATTTTGCAGCCGGAAATGCGAGCGCCGTGTTCCTGAAGAGGAAATGAACGGGATTAGCACCAGGGGAAGCAATTGAATACGCGTCTGTCGCGTCGGATAACGTTCGGACTCAATGCCGAAGCGATTGGTCACCAACGCAATGTGGATGATTCACCTCAAGCCATGTCGTGAGAGCTGTACTCATGGCGGGAACGTGATGTCTGAAAATGAGACCTGGGTACATTCAGCGAAGGTAACTAGTCGTGTATTCTGAAGCCATTACTACGAGAGCTGGACTGTGTCCGACCTTGGGATTGCCTTAGTCTGCAATCAAGTCAATCCGTTGTCCTCGACATTGGCACCCAGATACTCGCCCTTAAGTATTTTACAAATCACGGCTTCCACAAAATGAAAATGTTACGCAGACAAAAGTAGAAATCACTTTCACCCAAGATAATTGTTGTTGCTCAATCAGTGATGACCAAGTCAGCTTCCACGTCCTTCGGATTCCGCAGAAAAATATCGAATCACAGCTCTCGAACGTCCCAGCTTGCCGCCGCACCCGTGCATTCAAAAAGCGGCATGTGTCCACTTCCAGCAAAAGGGGCATCGGACCACGAAAAGCGGTAGTACACGTGCGCAAAATGTAACTCGATCACCTGCACCAATAGTGCTCATTTTACGCGCAATTCCCTATGTGATCGGGTCGCCTGATTGCACTGAACAATACTTCCTTCTTGTAGTTACAAGAGGGTAACACTGCATCTGAGCCGTACGATGCCCTGATGCACCTCTAATCAATTGTTGGAATTCTCGCTCGGATGCAAGCAACTGGGAGTATTTCAGAATCGCTTGGCGGAGTCCCATGACATTCTAGAGAGCAGGTATATCTCACAGACCTGCAGTTCTTATTTTCAGTTTACGCAATCGAGACTTCTGTTGACCTCCACCTTTCTCCACCTTTTTCGCGAACAGAGAACCAGTCGATCGTAACAATGGCCACCGCGATCTCGCTCTCTGCACGCGTGCCTACCGTGCTTAAGGCCGAGAAGAGGACTGTTTCCGAAGCCAGCAATGCTACTGAGCTGGTAAGTTCGATTGAGAAATAGCTCATTCATGCGTTACACCTCTGTATGCCGCTAAACCCACGTTTTATCGCGCCCGTTCTTCGCCTCTGTTGCCGTTTTCACCTGGGATTCTAATGTGTCTTGTTCCCGCCTTACCAGGGCTTCGCTCGGTCGTTCCGCGTGAACAACAGTCTCGTGGGCCCATGCAAGCCCCTGAAGGCAACGAAGGCATCGAGATGCGTCGCAACTAAGGCTGCTATAGCGACAGAGAAGCCTCCCACTGATTCAGGTTAGTCATTCTAATAGACCCTAGGTCGAGCAAAATTGTATGATTATCCAAGTGACCGTTCGCTGACAAATTCATGTGTTTCTTTGTGACAGCGTCCAAGAGCAAGAGCAAGATTCGCATTGGAATCAATGGTGCGTCCTAGTGTTGGACTGCAGTCAGTTATCCCGTGTGTCGGCGATTGTTATTTGTGAACGCAGCATGATTGCTAACATCCACTGCCGCTTTTCCAGGTTTCGGTCGCATCGGTCGTCTTGTTCTTCGCGTTGCTCTGGACAGGCCTGATGTGCAGGTCGTTGGTATCAACGATCCGTTTATCGACACTGATTACATGGTATTTCCACATGATTAGTCTATTACCTGTCATCGTCTTTCGTCACGTATATCTCTCCGTTTTCCACATTGTCATTCAGCGTTGGATCGTACTGATTCTTTCGTGTAACCATCGCCGCTGTTCAGGCTTACATGTTCCGCTACGATAGCTCCCACGGCACATACCCCGGCGAAGTTCACGCTGAGAGTGCGAACGCCATCAACATTGACGGACAAAGCATCGCGGTCTTTGGAAAGAGGTCAGTATCTAGTCTCCGGTAGTTTTTCATCCCGGATTCCATGTGACAATCAGCAAAATGATTTACGCTCACCGGTCGTTTTCATGTGCAGGGACCCAGCTGAAATTCCCTGGGGTGAATCCGGTGTCGACTTTGTGGTTGAGTCAACAGGTACAGGATAAAGAAAGTGCTTTCTCGTAGTAACGTTGCACAAGACGGCTTGTTGAGCAATGCACCTTTGTCATTGTGCATGCAGGTGTGTTTACTACTATCGGCAAGGCCGAGGCCCATATTAAGGCTGGCGCGAAGAAGGTAGTGATTTCGGCTCCTTCAGCAGACGCTCCCATGTTCGTGATGGGAGTCAACGACGAGAAGTACCTTCCTTCCATGAACGTTGTCTCCAACGCCAGCTGCACCACCAACTGCCTAGCTCCGCTCGCCAAGGTAAGGAGACAATATGAAACAAAAGATCCAAAATTACCTTAAACATTGATGCTGTACCAGGAATGCACTGTCGCTTAATGCGGTGTTTGTTTAACATCCCTGCGTAACAGGTGGTTCACGAAGAGTTTGGCATTCTCGAGGGCCTTATGACCACTGTTCACGCTGTCACAGGTCAGTCTGCCAGAAAGCGATGCCTTGGTTTCGTGCTTAGACAGTTCCTGTGTCTTACGCTTGTCATTATGTCCTTTTGTGTTGCAGCCACGCAGAAGCCTGTTGATGCGCCATCGGCCAAGGACTGGCGTGGCGGCCGTGGAGCGGCGCAAAACATCATTCCCAGCTCCACTGGTGCAGCCAAGGTAACTGGGTCTATTTTTTTTTTTTCCACCTACTGAAAGAATTATGTTTGTACACAGATGTTACTGAGGATGTGAATGCGTGGTCAGGAATAGCACCTCAACATTTCTTTGGTGATACCGTGTGAATGCAGGCTGTAGGCAAGGTCCTTCCCGCCCTGAACGGCAAGCTGACTGGCATGGCCTTCCGTGTGCCCACTCCTGACGTGTCGGTGGTTGACCTGACTGTTCGCCTGGAAAAGGGAGCCAGCTACGATGACATCAAGGCAGCCATCAAGTACGCTGAGCCTAGCTCCTGATTCTTCGGTTCCTTTCAATGAGTTCTAACATGTGAATCTGCCTGCTCTATATGCAGGGCTGCATCTGAGGGTCCTCTGAAGGGCTACCTTGGATACACAGAGGATGATGTGGTCTCCACTGACTTTTTGGGTGATCCCAGGTAAGCATACAGTCTTCCGCAAAGTTTTATGTGCTGGGTCTCTTCATAAAGCTTAGCATCTGATGAATGTCTCTGAGCATTGCAGGTCGAGCATTTTCGATGCCAAGGCAGGAATTGCCCTCACCCCTAACTTTGTCAAGCTGGTGTCTTGGTATGACAACGAGTGGGGCTACAGGTAATTGATGTTACGTTTTCTTTGCTGCCGCCTTGGACGCTGTGTTTAAGGACCACCTAACGATACCCATCTGTTTGCTGTCTCCACTTGCAGCAATCGCGTGATTGACCTGATTGAGCATATGGTGGCAGTTGCTGTTGCCGATGCGGGCAATTAAAACACATCAGATGCATTTAGTATAAGATGATGGCTTGTCATTTTCCTCGCTATTAGTGGAAAATGTGTGCAGGAAGATTCAAGACTTGTCTATTCCCATTTACCTCGCCAATAGAGTGCACATTTCCTAATATCATTCAGCACTTTGCAAGCGAGCGTGCTAACATCGGAGCATTTTAAGACCCGCGAAATATCACGTAAACGAAGTGAACGAAGAACAGATTTCAAAGAAGGGGCGAAGCGGACAGCTCGAACTGATGTGGCGTCCATGAATTTTGACGACCAGCAAACACCTCTTCCACGATAACGTGGAACCAGTTCGATCTGTCAATAGAATATCGCCACATGGCTTGTTCGTAGGTGATTGGCTGGTAGACTGCCACATAGGATCTGAGAAAGTAAGCACCTTTTTTAAAGGTCAGTGTTTCTCCTACATTTCGGTTTCCGGTCAGCTTACATAACCTGCTGATTTTGTATTACAGGCCCCGACACTAACATCAAATCCTCGTTACCTGCAAGAAAAGTCTACTGTACAAAGTGGGTATTCTTGTCCATTGCCTTACGCAAAAAAGGAGATGGAGCAAAAGAAATTTGGAGCAAAGCCGCTGTCTTGGTGCAGGCAAACAGTCCTTGGAAGTTCCAACCTCCAAATTCTGAAGCACCCCAAATTGACGGCTGGGGC